CCTTTCTATGCATTTATTAGACATCTATGTATTTTCTTTTATTAAGGTGTCAATTTAAACCTTTTGCCCAATTTTTAAATTAGGTTGTTTGTCATTTTGTTATTTATTTATAGGAAATACTTATATATTCTGGATACAAATGCTAATATTTCTCCTGGCTGGTGGCTTTTCTTTTCATTACTTGTTTGATTAAAAAACAGCAAAACTGTTTTTTTAATTTTGATGAAGTCTTACAGTTACAGAATGTGTTCCAAGACTCAGCAATATGATGGAGTATTTTCCAGAAAGAAGATAACTGGGGCTTCTAGCAGGGCTATAGTCTCCTTCAAGTTTGTTCCTGTGGTGTTTCAAAGAGAAGCTGAAGTCATGCAAATAGCCACTGTGTGGGCCTTCCTAGATGTGTGGTATGGGTGTGTGCTTTTAACAGTGGAAGATTGCATATGCTTGCTCTATCCAGCGGGCACCATAAAACTCAATCCAAGGGGCTTGCGTGTCCAGGGGTGGAAAAGAAATGGCCTTAGTTTCTTCTAAATATCTGTGGCCTTTGCTGCTGAGGATACATAGGTTACCAACCTAGAAGCCCTGGGGATCTTTAATCGATAGAAATTGATAAGAGGCCAGAGGAGGAACTCAAGCAAGGGAGTGAAAATCAGAAACAGGTGCCCTTGCTTGCTCCCAAGGTGGGGGGGGGGGGGGGGGGGGGNATGTTTTCTCTAACTCAGTAATTCTACTTCCAGGAATTTAACATAAGGCTAAATGCATGGTTATATTCAGAATTTTAACCACAATATACAGATTTCATTTTTGTTGGGAAACTACATAAAATAGTGGATAGTTGCATATTGGTTGAAAACTCCATATATAGCAGAATGTAGTGAAATCTTTTAAAGTTATTCCCTATAAGTACCATATTTTTATTGACAGATATTTGCAATGTTGTATAAAAAGATTTCAAAATATATATACTTCTATCTTATATATACATAAACCCATTTATATTCATATATATAGGAGGATTTTTATTAAATGGGAGATTTAATTTATATACATTTACAAAATACATATGTGTGTCATTATACTGTTTGTAAAATCATGACCCAGATGGCTTAGTCTGAGAGTGTATCTAAGTCAAAAGAATTATAGCAACAAAACTAAATTTTAAATTCTTCTATGAAAGAAAGTGAAAAGTATTAGTCGCTCAGTTGTGTCTGACTCTTTGCAACCCCATATACTGTAGCCTGCCAGGCTCCACTGTCCATGGAACTTTCCAGGCAAGAATACTGGAGTGGGTAGCCATTCCCTTCTCCAGGGGATCTTCCTACCCCAGGGACTGCACTCGAGTCTCCTGCATTGCAAGCAGATTCTTTACCGTGTGAGTCACCAGGAAAGCCCACTTCTGCTTCTGTACCTGAAGGCTATCCTATTATGTCCAGTAATACTTTTTCAGTATCCTTAATTCCTTTCCCATTCGCATGCTACATAGCTGCTTTTGCATCTCTACCCAAAATCCCATTAAGACAATCCTGCAGCCCTCTCCCCTTCTGCCTCAGTGCCCTCCTGTACTTTCTATTCTCCATCACCGAAGCCAGAGAATCTTGTGGCAAGTGGTGGGCTCGCCTTGGAAGAAGAGGGGAGAAACTGAGATGGTCCAAGCCAGGATTCTTTGGTAGTTGACTGGAGTGAGGTGATGGGTGGGGTGGGTGAGCAACTGGGAGGGTGTTGGTAATATGTCAGCATTCATAATCTTCATTCTATTTCATATGCATAGAAAACAGCTGGAAGGACATGCACAGAGGTCACAGTGTTAACATTTTGTTATTTCTGGTGATAGGATTAGAGTGGATTTTAATTTCCTTCCTTTTGCTTATCTATGTTTTCTAATTTTCTACCATGAACAGACATTCCCTGATTAAATTCTTAGAATTTTTTTTGAAGTATATCTTGATTGATTTATAAAAATCATTTGAAAAAAAAAGTTCCCCAGTGCTTCTCAGAATTACAATGTTGGAAAGGTAAGTATGGTAAACCCTAAGTTAAGGAGGTTTAAAAATATATTCTCTGTCCCAGATACGCCACTGACATTTGTACCCAAGTCAACCATCAGCCAACACTGAGATCTGTCTTTGTGCCTGTCACCCCTTTCTGTCAAATAAAAGCAAAAGGTATTTTCAAAAATGTGCAAGTTAGGGAGAAGGACTTGGAGCAGGTTAAACCAGTTGACACATATGTCTTACCTGCAAAATGGGGACAACCACATGGTCCTCAAGGAGATCTGAGCACCTGCTCTGTTCAGTTCTTGTGCTTAAGAGGCAACTACTGGTTTCAGCTTTGGGCTAAGTTCTGAATTGGGAGCTGTGGATATAGCAGTAAGACTCTGCCACTGCCCGCTCTGGTGGACATCTGGTCAGTCACTTAACTGCCAAGGCCTCCAGCTCTTCAGCCTTAAAATAGGGCTTGAGTGAAACGGTCTCCTCAAGTCCCTCAGGCTCTGGAGTTCCATTCAGAATGTTCTAAGCATTGTATGAAAATGTTCAGAAGTTGCTTTCAGACTTCCTTCAGTCTGTGTAACAGGCTCTAGGTATATACCAAAAATGAAAAGTTAACAATGACCGAAAAAAAGAGGTTGTTTTCGTTAGCCTAGAAGGTATCCCTGGGGTCTTCAGGGAGCATATTTCCCCGAGGGTGATCTCAAACCTTTCCCTAAAGACCCCCCAGGCATAAGAGCCCCGGTGCATCTCCAGCCCAGGATCTGGGGGCATACACCCAGGCATGAAATGTCTTTGAGTTCTTGTTTGTTATCACAGAGGTAATTTTGCACTCTACTCCATAAATCTATCCTTGCTTGTGTTGATATAAAAATAGTATTCTGAATTATTCACTGTTTGTGAATGTGTTGATAAATCTAGACTTGCAAGTTGGCAGAGAATCTTGTCTTTTGATCTTGAACTATACAAGCCCTAATTTTGTGTGATAAGGTTACAGGAGATAACTAATTTCTTTTTCATGCTTTCTGTATTTTTTTTTTATTTCTTCTCTAATGTGTGTGTATTAATACTAAAGAAAAGTAAATAAATTTTAAAACATGAAAAACAATGTAGTTCTGACCTTCCACATCTAGATTTTAAGGAGGGAAGGGCTCCCTTTAATGAATGGGCTCCCTGATGACACTTTCTTACTGTGCACATTCTTCTTGTGCTCAGTCGCTCCGTCGTGTCTGACTCTTTGCGACTCCGTTGACTGCAGCCTGCCAGGCTCCTCTGTCTGTGGGATTCTCCAGGCAAGAATACTGCCGTGCCCTCCTCCAGGATCTTCAAGACCCAGGGATAGAACCCACGTCTCTTAGGTCTCATGCGTTGGCAGGCGGGTTCTTCACCACCCAGAAGTGCCGCTGGGAAGTCCATCTGGATGCTCTGTTTGTGACAAATAACATGTGGTTGAATGAATGAAAGAATAATGACGACGATGATGATGATGAAAGCTACCATGATTGTGTTTTTACCATGTGCTACTGTTCTAAACTCTACCTCAGTCATCTTATTCAATCTTTATAAAACCCTTTGAGGCAGGTCTTATTATCCTCATTTTACAGACGAGGAAACCAAAACATCAAAAAGTTAAGTAACTGTCCCAGTTGGAACCTCTTTCCTGTGCTGTCTTTTATCTTCTTGGCTTGCCTTTTAGACCTGGTCACTGCAGCAGCGTTTGCCCTGAGTGCAGCAACTTGGTGGTGTTGTCTTAGCAGCTCCTCATCTCTTGGTTTTGCCCTGAGGCTTCTCTGCCCTGTTCTACTTGCTTATCTGTACTTTCTAATTTTCCTAAGGTGACAGTTGTGTCATGGATGGAGAGCAGGGTGGCAAACTAATCTATGCTAGTTTATTCACACAGAACTCTCAGGTTCTTTTAGCAGATAGTAGTAGCCATGGGCATAGTTGAAGTGGATGTGGATTAACTAGTCTCCACAGTCCCACCTTCATCTTATCACAAAAGCAAATCTCAGAGCAAAACCTGCCCCACATGCAGACTTATTAGGTAAGCATGCATGGGCCAGCAAACATAAGACAGGGCAGGCAGCATGCTCTGGAAGCTGATCAAGTCCCAACTCTCCGCGCATTTGGGTACCGCAACTGCTCCCCGAGTGGAAGGTTCACTGGAAGAAGGCAGGCGAACATTCTCGAGTGGTGGGTCTCAAACTTGAGCAAACATCCAAATCTCCTGGAGGGCTTGTTAAGGCACTGATTGCTGGGCCCTGACCCTACAGCTAACTCAGGGGCCTCCACACTTTGAGATCTGATTTTGTTACTCTCTCTGATAAATGGCATCAGGCGACCAGCCATTCACTCAATCCCTGGACAAAGGACCATTTAGAGAGTTAGTCTGTGGTCTAGAACACCTACCCTTGGCTGTAGACTACAGGGTGTTCTGAATTCCTTTACCTAAAAGGCATAAGGGTAAAGAATGTCGATGAAAGGTTTTAGAGCAGCGGTCCTCACCTTTTTTGGTACCAGGGACATATTTTGTGGAAGACAGTTTTTCCACGGACTGGGGCTGGGGTTGGGGTGGGGGTGGTTTCAGGAGGATGATTCAAACACACTACATTTATTGTACACTTTATTTCTATTGTTATTACATCAGCTCCACCTCAGATCATCAGGCGTTAGATCCTGGAGGTTGGGGGCCCCTGATTTAAAGGATACTGTTAATGTCATCAGTGAGAAGCCATTTCTCATCCTCATTATGCTAATTAGCAAAGCCTGGTGCATTCCTTACACTCCAATAACTGAGGTTCATTTCACATAGATAGTTGGAGCATGGCCTGATACAATACTAGCTGAATAGCCCTGTAGTGTGAATTCCTGGAGAGGGCACCTAGGGTATAACATAAATTAGCACAAACACCTAATATTACTTGTACAAATGGAACATGTTAGAGTAAGTTACAGACAACATTAATGGAAGGAAAGTTCATTAACAAATCTCTGGGCGTTTGTTTGGTCCCACAGACAGAGCCTGAGATCATAGAGGAAACCAACATCGACAGAGTGAATGAGCCCCGGGGCTACGGCCGGTCGAGGCAGGTGAAAGGCCACTCGGAGACCTCCACTCTGAGCTCGCAGCCCTCCATCGACGAGGTCCGGCAGCAGATGCACATGCTGCTAGAGGAGGCCTTCAGCCTGGCGTCGGCGGGCCACGCGGGCCAGGGCCGGCACCCGGAGGCCTATGGCTCCGCCCAGCACCTGCCCTACTCCGAGGTGGTGACCAGCGCTCCGGGGACCATGACACGGCCCAGGGCTGGGGTGCAGTGGGTGCCGACCTACCGCCCAGAAATGTACCAGTACAGTCTGCCCCGGCCGGTAAGTCAGACATCTCTCCCATCTGCCTGTCATCATCAGATCTGCCAGTCCCGGGGTGTGCCCACAGGGGTCTCAGGGTAAGGACTTTTGTGATGAGCCACCTTGGGATTTGGAGATGACCTTTGCTGGGCTCTCATCCCATCCTCATCTCTGATCCAAGCCAAAGCCTTTCAGTCCCATGGGCATAGGCGCACAGGAAGCCCTGATGTCCAGCTGAAATACGTTTTTGAGTGAATTTCCTTTTCTACCCCTCCTGTGAAGGCCAGACCTCACTCTTTGTGCATGGTGGTTTTCTGCAACCCCAAGGGCAAGGACCTCATTTGAATATCAAAATGCGGGGCAAGGCCCCATGTCAGGGGGCCATGGAGCCTGTGGTTCTGAGCAGAGGCTCTGGAGGCGGGTGGTTTGACTTTGAATTCCAGCTCTAGCATTCAGCGGCTTTGTAACTTGGGGATGTTCTTAGATTTTCTACTGGTGAAATGAACAGATAAGAAAAATAACCAACTTCCTAAGGTGGTTGTAAAGATTAACATGAGGTACTAGATGGATGCCAGACACCCAGTAAATGCCATAAAGGTTTGTCATGATCATCTCATTAATTAGTAACTGTACTTCAGTATCTGAGAAAGTACCCAGTGACTAAAGGCTTTCATGATTTAAGCAACCATTTTAATTAGTTTGCATTTAATTAGTTCATCACCATAGCATCTACAGATAATCTTTTTAAAAAGACATAGTTTTATAAGCCACAGACAATAGACAATGCTTTTTGTGATGTATAGATTCTGCCCTTGTAATATTTCATGCCCTATCTCCAAGTTACTCATTAACAGAGCATTATAAATTGTCATTGTGATATGTAATTATCTAATAAAAGGTCAAGGCTATGGTTTTTCCAGTGGTCATGTATGGATGTGAGAGTTGAACGGTGAAGAANGGCCATATGACTGAATTCAGTCCTTAGCCCCACTTCCCTCCCCAGAGGTCAAGTTTTTTATCCCAGGGCTTTAAGTCCCATCCTTGTAATCTCATGGATGGTCTTTCTAGCACTGCTGGCCTCCAACCCTAAACTAGGAGCCCACCAAGAGTTGCTTCATTAGCATAAATCCAGGCGTGGTCTGAGAATCTACCATGAATAACGCAGATACTCCTGTCACTTGGGCAGTTCTGAGTTTGGAAGCTCGCTTCCAGGAAATCGGGACAAAAGCATTCTTCATTATATATTGGAAAAGACTCTGATGCTGTAGAAGATTAAAGGCAGGAAGAGAAGGGGGCGACAGAGGATGAGATGATTGGATGGCATCACTGACTCAATGGACATGAATCTGAGCAAATTTCAGGAACTAGTAAAGGACAGAGAAGCCCGGCATGCTATAGTCCATGGAGTTGCAAAGAGTTGGATACAACTTCTTGAGTGAACAACAACAATAATAAAAGCTAACATTTATTGAGTGCTTCACTGTTACTAGGTAGTGATCTAAGTGTCATATGTATGGTAACTCATTTATTTAGTTCTTACTGTATGCCTCTGAGACAGTTACTAGTTTTATCCCTGTTTTACAGATGTTGAAACTGAGGTTTCACAGCTTGTTCAAGTCACACAGCCAGGAAGGGGCAGAGCCAGGACCCAGAGTCAGGCCATCTGGTGACAAAGCCCATGTTCTTAACCTGCCTTCTGCTGTTATATTGTCTCTCCATCATATTATTTCTTTAATTTTACAGTAGACTCTTTGGGACACCTATGAGCTTATGGAGCCTTTTGATAACTTCAACCACCAGCCTCCAACAGCACCACTACGGTGGCATTTAATAAATTGCTGTTATGCTACATAACTACCTAATCTACACACTGTTGTGAACTTCCTTATTGTCCTTTGTTCCAGATTCTCTCCTTTACCAGGTCCCTGAGATGTCTTCTCTTAACACTATTCCTAATCCCCTCAGTCTTTCTCTTTGAATGTCAGTCTCTGGCCCAGCCTTTCCCTGTTGATAAAACTCTTATCAGGAGAGACCAAAGTTTATTTCAAACTGAGCCTTTGGGGCAGGGACACCTGTACTTGGATGAGGTCATCAGCACTGCAAGAGTTTGTCTTTAGGTCGGCAGGTGCAGAATTTCTGTTTTGTCCATTCACTCCAGGGTGATCAGATCATGCTGCTTAAACTCACTGAAACTGCTTTATTATTAACTTACAAACCTGCAGTGAGAAGCTGAATGACCAGGTGGGCCAGAATATTTGTTTGCTGGTCAACATGGTCTTTCATTGGCTTGCCTTGTAGCTCAGCTGGTAAAGAATCTACCTGCAATGCAGGAGACCTGGGTTCAGTCCCTGGGTTGGGAAGATCCCCTGGAGAAGGAAAAGGCTACCCACTCCAGTATTCTGGCTTGGAGAATTCCATGGACTGTATAGTCCATGGGGTTGCAAAGAGTTGGACACAACTGAGCGACTTTCACTTTGGGCTTCCCTGGTGGTTCAGATGGTAAAGAGTCTGCCTGCAGTGAGGGAGACCTGGGTTCAATCCCTGGGTCAGGAAGACCCCCTGGAGAAGGAAATGGCAACCCACTCCAGTATTTTTGCCTGGAAAATCCCATGGACGGGGGAGCCTGGCAGGCTACAGTCTATGGGGTTGCAGAGTTGGACATGACTGAATGACTTCACTTTATGGTCTTTCATTAAGTAAATCCAATTTAGGGAAAGTACGACATTGTCAGAAGGAAAACTGGTTGATATTAGAGTCATTTTTCTCAGCCTGTGATATGCAAACCCAGAGAGCAAAGTCAGTAAAGGAAATAGGGTAAACGTGGGACATCTTTTTTGCATCCCAGGAGATATAGGTGGAATACAGTGCAAAATTCTTAATGTTTTAAAGGATTTTATTTTAATATTTACTAATTATTTATTTGGCTGTGCTGTCTTTGTTGTAGCATACAGGATCTAGTTCTCCAACCAGACATCGAAACTGGGCCCCCTGCTTTGGGAGTGTGAACTCTTCGCCACTGGACCACCAGGGAAGTCCCCTTCATGCAGTGTTTAAGTTAAATAGAAGACTTCAGTCAATGCCCAGATCTCAGGAATCCAGGAACTTTGCTGGATCTGTTCAAGAAGCACTGACTTCCAGAAGAGAGCCAGCAACTCTGGGGCCGCCACTGGCCATGCTCCCATCAGATGAGAATCCACATACCCTTTTTTCAGAGTTAGAAAAATGCTCACTGAGCCTTGCAAATCGGGTACTTTAAAATACTTTCCCATGACAGTCGTATTACAGTTTCCACAATTACAGTTTTCTTAACTAATTGCCCATTAAATTGGTACTCTTCTTTATGGGGAAAGAAGGGATTTTCTCACTGAGATGTTGAAAACACTCTAATCTTACCACATAAAGTGGCTGTCCTTTGGGGGAGGGCTACCTGTATCCATTCTTATACTGATCCACACTGACTTCAGTTTCGTTGACTCATCCTTTCTGATTCCAGACATTGACCATATCCCCAAATTCTCCCTCTACCCAGAGTGGAATGGTACTCACCAACTGAATGACCTTACCTGGTGACCGTAACTCTGAGCCTCCTGTCTCCTCAGCCATAGAGTGGTGATGAGAAGAGAGCTGCAGAGGGGAAAGGATGATAATTCATGTAAAATGCTCAGCAAGGTCCTGGCACTTAGCACCCAATGGGTGTTAGTAGATTTTAATCAGAGTGCTTTGTATGGAGCCTGGTACATGGAATTACTGGATAAATGTAGTCATTATAAAAATATTCTCTTCTTTCCACTGGGTTCCACTGTCTATCTCCCTTTTCCTGACACTTCTGAGATGACATCTTTTTCTTCTACTCTGTTATACTCTTTTTAAGAGCATGCTCTGGGTGCTCAGGGAAGCCTCACTTCTGTTTAAAGATAATCCTCAGGAATGACTGGGCCCCTCTAGCTGGAGGCCAGACTCTGGGGATCTGTGAACAGATCTGGGTTTCAGAGAGAAAAACTTAAACAACTGGGATGAGACTTCCAATGACAGGCCAGAATATGCCACAACCCACATCCATATGCCTCAATTTAACAAAACCATCTAAAAATGTCATTGTGGGAATATGAAAGTTTAGATGGTTCTGTCTGCTATAATTCAGGATTGGCAGTTGTGCCAAGAAAGGCAGAAACGTTAGTATTATATATTTTTTAAAAAATGAAGCCACCAAAGAATGGAAGTGGACTGAGAAATAACACAGGAGAGAGATGATCCATCAAACTGAATATCAAAGGCAGTTTTTTCATTGTTAAGGTTTCCTTTTGCCAACAACACATGAGGTCCTTATTTTAATGAAAAGAGAAATGGCTAACAATACACAGTAGCAATGGTAATTCTTAACCCAAGTTCTTGCCAAGTCCTCTTGTGCTATGATAATGTGGAAATCAATGGACATGGTGGCAATTTAGAATGATAACTATGATTACTTTTCAGCGTCCAAAAAGGAAGCACTCCAAGCTCTACTGGAGGATAATTGGAAGTTGCTGGTTCTAAATGCACTCGGCCAGGCTGATGGCATTTATATCATGGAAAAGGTTATTGTTGGCAGCTGGCGATTCCTGCACCTCAGTTCAGGAGACTCTTGATCATATTTTACCCCTTGAATCTATGAAGAAATTAGACTTGACACCTAATGACCAATCCAATTTTGCTAGCAGCCATAATGGGTCTCTGCCAAGTGGAATGAAAATATCCCATAGCCTTCCTGTTGGTGTCAGGGTAGGGGATGCTGAGAAAGGTATGTGTGCATGCTCAGTTGTGTCCGACTATTTGTGACCCCATGGACTGTAGCTCACCAGACTCCACTGTCCATGGAATTGTCCAGGCAAGAATACTGGAGTTTCTATTTCCTTCTCCAGGGATCTTCCCGACCCAGGAATTGAACCCTCATCTCCTGTGTTACCTACATCCGCAGGCAGATTGTTTACTACTAAGCTACCCAGGAAGCCCTCCAAGAAAGGTAGCAGGGTGAAAACATCTTC